AGAGAGCCCCTACACACATCCCAGCATTAGGCATGAAAGCATGAAAGAACACATCTAGAGGGGAGATGCGGGTGACACATGTGCTCAGGCAACACGTGTGCTCGGCAACGAGGGCACAAGCAGCACAAGGGCTTGGGAAGCACTTCCTTTGTTCAAAGTGGCCTTTATCAGGGGTTTCTCCAATCTGCCCCCACTTAGAGCTTCCATTGCTAAGGAGGTTGCCTAGGCGGGTAGGATTGGGAGTGGTAAAGGTCTTCTTTGGAATCCCCTTCCTGGCCTTTTGTTCCAGCTGGAGTTTGTATCCCGAGGGGCTACAACCTCCTCAGGGTCTGTAACAGACTGGCACCAGGTGGGGTCTTATCAGGCCTTAGCAACTGTTTTCTGCAAGGTTGACCTTGGAAAGTTCAGAGTTATTACTTTCCAGGAAATTTAATGTCATTGCCTTGGGAGGGGGCCTTCCCTATCTGCTTGCTTGCCTACATCAAGTGGAGAGTTGATTTCTTTAATAGATCAGTTTCAGGAAGTTGAAAGGTCTCTGAGGGGATGATTCTTGAAAGAGATAAGATTTGATGAGGGAACAGAAAGAAGAGAAAGGTAGATGAAAAGGATGCCTGAGCATGGAGATCCTAGAAGCACATCCAGTTGGTTCCTGAATGTTATGGAGAGAGAGCAAGAGCCAGAGACAATGGACACTGAGAACAAAAATCAGCGTCTGTGAGTGGGTCAGAGAGAGACTCAGACTCCACTTCCAGTACATTAAACAGGCTCTTGTTTTCTGTAGTTCCTGTTCCTCTCTCTGTTTTCAATGGGAGGCAAACTAGGGTGGCTTCAGGTCTCACTCTAATGCCCTCCTTCAGATGTAAAGAGCAACAGACAAAACATGTCCTTGAAAGGTCAAACTCCGACTGGAATAAGATACTGGGAGAAATTCAAAACTTGCTTTAGCTTTTATGTAGTTCCAAGGACATCACAAGCAGGAACTAGTGACATGTACTTGACAGAACATGAAGTCTTATGCTCTGTGGTCTCTGCAGGGAGATATAAGGTGATTCTTTGGACACTGATCAAAATTCCCTGCCTCTCTCAGGAAGCTGAGCATTAGACAAGCTGCGCCATCTTGTGGGAAGATAGATGGCATCAGTATTCACTTGCATAAGTTTCTTTACATCACACACACACACGCACACACATGCGCGCACACACACACACACTCTGTTGCTCACACACACACCACATACATACACACACACTCACACTTTGTTGCTTTTCTCCAGGAAGAATTGAGAACAAAACCTAAAGCATAAATGACAACTACAAAAGTACCATCAATCAAGATATTCTCTAGTAAATTTCACAGCAAATTAATGTATAAATGAAAATAATTGAAATGTGATAGCCTTCAAAATCCTTAGGTTTTCAGAAATATAAAAAGAATATCTTACAGTTATTGAATGTTTACTCTTTGCCAGATAGAGTACTCTTATGAACTAACTTAAGTCATCACCACAAATCCCCCAGAAGATGTGTCTATCATCACGCCCTTTTGCAAGAAATTAAAACAGAAAAGTGTGGTGTCTTGTCTGAAGTTAAACAGCTGTTAAGTGGCAGAACTGGAATTCAACCAAGATCTTGAGTTCCTAATTGCTATGAAGGCTGCTTCTCTAACAGACATGACACAGCACACAAGACAAGGACAGGGGAGGTAAGACTTAGAAAACCATGTTTCAAGACTATAAACCTAATTTAAAATTGCTTCCCTGAGCCAGAGAAGAATGAAGAAGAAGAAGAAGAAAAAGAAAAAGGAGAGTCAGAGGAGGAGGAGAGGAGAAAGAGAAGAAGAAGAAAAGAAGAAGAAGAAGAAGAAGAAGAAGAAGAAGAAGAAGAAGAAGAAGAAGAAGAAGAAGAAGAAGAAGAAGAGAGAGGAGGAGGAGGAGGAGGAGGAGGAGGAGGAGGAGGAGGAAGTGGGGGAGGAGGAAGTGGGGGAGGAGGAGGGGGAGGAGGAGGAGGAAGGCAAAAAAGAAGAGGTAGAGAAGAGAAGTGGAGGAGGCGGGAGGAAGGGCGAAGATGAATTTTGAAAATAGATCGTGCAACAAACATTTTTTTCAAGATTTTAAACTAAGATTCAAGTTATCTTGAGAATCATTATTATACTCATCATACCATAATTATTGTTTACTCTGTGTCAGGTACTGTGTTCAGAGTCAATGTTGTCAAGCACTCAAAGTAATGTGGGTATTAACCCTTATTTTATAGGTGAGTAAACAAATGCCCACTAAATATGAGAGACCTCCCTCAAACTTTGTACAAAGTATCATTGAGGCTGGGGCACAAGCTCTAGTGGTAGAGCACATGCCTAGTGTAAGGCTTTTAGTTCTGTCCTTGGAATCACATCTCCCCAAATACAGTCCAAATAGAACTCTGGTGTTCCCCAAGGTCTGCTGTTCCTGAGCACCAGGACAATCAGCCTTAATCTGAGAATCACTAAGAGTAGTTCTCAATTCCAGAGTCTGTCAGGTGTAGCTCCAACTTAAAAATTAGGTTCGTCACTAAGTCAATGATGGTTGGAGGGATCGCTTGGCATGGGAGATGTGTGATGAAAGTAGACAAAGGACCAAACATGATAGCCTCTCAGGATCTGTATTGCAAACAATGATGTCCCAAAGTAGAAAGAAAATAAGAAGGAAGGTACCTCCCACAGAGGCATAAGATGGGGGGTGGCCATAGAAATACTGGGGACATTGATGGTGGAAAATGTGCACTGGTGAAGGGATGGGTGTTCAATCATTGAATGACTGAAATTCAATCACAAAAACTTTGTAACCATATTTCACAGTGATTTAACATTAAAAAATAGGTCAGGTGCAGAAGCTTCTTAGTTTAAGATAGTCCCATTTGTCTATCTCTGTTTTCACTTGCTTGGCCAGTGGCGTGACATCTTTGAAGATACCATTAGCTTCAATGTCATGGAGGGTTTTGCCAACTTTATCTTCAATGTACCTTATGGTTTCTGGTCTGATGTTGAGGTCTTTAATCCATTTTGATCTTATTTTTGTCCATGGCGTTAGGCAGAGATCTGAGGTACTACATGGAAAGTATTATGTTAAGCGAAATGAGTCAGAAAGAGCGGGATAAACACAGAAAGATTGCATTTATCTGGGGAACATAAAGCAACAAAATGGGAGACTAACACCCAGGAGTGGCTGCGATTAGTACCAGGAATTTTGCTCCATGACTTAGAGGCCAGACACACGTGCTAGGGGAAAAGGAAGCTCAGATAGAGAAGAGAGCACCAAATAAAGGGTGTTGTGAGGATCCTCCCAGGATGGGAGAAGCATGCTGAAACTAGACTACAAACCAAACATGATTGCCACTCAATGCCTCTCTTGCAAAACACAGGACCCAAAAGAAGAGAGAGAGAGAATAAGGGGGAATGCCCTGCCACAGAGGCAGGGTGGGATGGGAGGGATGGGGGTTGGGAGGGATGCTGGGACCCGTGGTGGTAGAGGATGGGCACTGGTGGAGGGATGGGTACTTGATCATTGTATAACTGAAACTCAAGCACAAAAATTTGTAAATCTAAAACTATACCTCATGGTGTTTCACTAATAAAAAAAATAAAATAAAATAATAGGTCAGTGATTTAGCTAATTTTGAGATTACACAAAGCCTGATATATTTTCATTTGTACCAAATGAAACAATCATTAAAAACTAACATTTGATGTAATGATACATTTTCTATCTCTAACTACTTTTGTACCTGTTGCTTTTTAAGCCACATGATTCACCAGCAAATTCACAACACAAAACTACGATCACAGTGGATTATGCTGCCATTGCTGGTAACACGCTGGCAATGGTTCTAATGATACTTGCAAGTACACATTGCCTTGCACGCGGCTAACCTGGGCCAACCTGGGTTCTCTTCCTCTGCCTCTCTCGGAGAGCCTGGAAAACTACTGAGAGTATCATGCCCCCACGGCAAAGCCCCACAAGTTCCCCGTGGCATATTCAATATGCCAAAAACAGTAACAACAAGTCTCATAATGGAGACGTTACTGGTGCCCACTTGAGCAAATCGATGAACAATGGGAGAACAGTGCTACAACTATCTAATTAACACAAATTTTCTCCAAATATGCTTTATCATTCCTCTAAAAACCATTATTCCTTTTCTTTACCATGCTGGTTGCTGACTTTTTGAGCAATTTATTTTGATTTTTCTAAGAACCAAGTAGTCTCCTTATATTTGTTTGACATTTCAGCAACTAGGTATTTTCATAATGACTAATATGAAAAAAAAGCGGTGTAAAAGCAAGATTCATCCTCTATTCCATTCTCTCTCTCTTTCTCTCTCCTCTTCTCCCTCAAATTTCCCAAATGCAATTATTTCACACACACACACACTCACACACACACACACACACACACACACACACACACCACATTGTTTTCTGGGGTTTAGAGAGATACCATAGCTCTTGCCTGGCATGTAGCTGACCCAGGTTCAATCCTCAGCACCTCATATGATGCTGAACCCTGCCAAGAATCTGTGCACAGAGCCAGGAGTACACCCTAAGCTCAGTCAGGTGTGGTCCCAAAACAACAAAAATATGATTTCCAACCTTTCTCTTTGATTCTGTGTTTGTCATGGGAATTCAAGCTTGTAAGCAGCAGAAGTTTTTATTTTATTTTCAAAGCCATCAGGCCACTATTTTTGTGATAGTGGAATTCAATCCGTTGTCATTTAGAGAAATCATTGACACAAAGGAATCTGATGTCATTTCTCTGTGGGGATTCTGAGTATTTTTGCAGCTAGACATTGTTCCACTGGTTGTGTTACACTAAAAAATAAAATACGTGAACCATCTTAAATTTGAAATCTGGGTCATGGTTTTCTTTTAGTGATAGCAGAAAAAAATTTAAGAATAAAAATTACAACCTAGCAACACACAGTTTATCTTGTTAGCTGTGTCATTCCTTCCCACCCCTGAACCTCACCGTGTTAACCAGATTGTGATTCCAGCATCAAGCCCAGTGCATCCATGGCAAAGTCACCTTGAACAGAATCCTTTGAAGAAATATTCTCACTGGGGATGAGAACTTGCCGGAAATGGCCAGATAAATAAAAGTAGATTATAGCATATCCTCCAGGAATCGGATTTTTTCCCCAGCCAATTGCAGGGAGAGATAGAGAAATAAGTTGCTATGCCATTACAGGTCATTTTCTCTCCGAAGTTGTATCTCTTCATGCTCCTTTTTCATTCCAATTGCCGAGTTTCTAGAAGATCATGGCTACATTTTTCTCCTCCCTGTATAACACCAATCACACTTCTGGGCTTTTCTTCTCACTGCTGATGGTGTTAATCTCCATAGGAACCAATGTGACTCAGAGGGTCAATGTGTACTTGGCAAGTATCATTACAATCATTGCCAGCGTGTTACCAGCAATGGAAGCATAATCCACAGTGATCGTATTTTTATGTTGTGAATTTGCTGGTGAGTCATGCGGCTTAAAAAGCAACAGGTGCAAAAGAAATCTTAACTTGGCACGTTATAGTAAATCCTATGACAACCCCCTTCTTTACAAGCTGCGTTCCAACATCCCTCATTTTGAAGACTTGCAGTCCACTGCTTGTTAATGAATAAGGCTTTCTGGGGTTTTTCTCAGTATCTATTATCCTGATTTGGGGGTCATACATTCCTTTCGTAGATAATAAGGATTGTGGGGATAGCAATGGTGATGGAAATAATGACTCTTTCATTAGCACCATCTATTCTTGTTACTGTGTCCTTCTCATTCAATAGTATGAATCTCTTCTGTGGCTTCCTCACTGATAACTTCAGTGAAAGAAAAGTGCCTAACTAAACTTCATTCATTTATTCATTCATCATCCTTTTATTCGTCGATTGCCTCGAGCAGGCCCCAGTAATGTCTCTTTCATCCTAGCCCTGAGATTATATTCAAGGCTCTTTAGGAGAATGAGACCCATCATTGTTACTGGTATTTGGCATATTTGGTACGCCACGGGGAGTTTGCCAGACTCTGCCCTGTGGGCAGGCTACATTCGATAGCCTGCAAATTTGTCCAAAGTAGGAATGAGATAATAAGATGTCATAAAAAGATGTCCTGATAAGATATCGCGCGGCCACAAATGTGGCCGCGCGGTTCCGGGAGCTGGGTTTTATAGTCTCTGAGTCTTGGCCGCTGATGGGATTACACGGCGCCAGGGGGCCAGGTGGTAGGTGTGACCCCCGCCTACTGGAATTTGGAGGATCTGGGTGGAGGATGCTCAACTCCAATCCGAGTAGGCTTGGAGATCTCGGCCCCAGAACCCGCGTGGCTTTGTCCCTCTGCCAGTACCTTCATGTGTGCGGAGAGTGGTCTCAGCATGGTGGTGGCTGGTCCTGGAGGTCTTCGGCTGCTGGAGCCCTGGTCGGGGTGGGGAGGAAAGCTCAACCCGCTCCCCTCCAAGGGACCCCGGTGAGGAACAGCCAGGCGCAGGGGCAGGAGACTGCACTGGTCTCGTCCGGGAGCTGGATTTTATAGTGTCTGAGTCAACTAAACTTGGTTTCACAAAATCTGAGTGACTAGAGCCAGTCATGGGTCATCTAATCCAACAACCCACCAGAGCATATGTCCATTAGGTATAGCCACAATATTTTGATTAGTGAAAAGTCAATGGTCTCCCTCTTCCTCCCAAGATGCACTACCTATCTAATGAAAGCTCAGTCTAATTATCAGAAAGCCTTTCTCATAGTGAAACAAGTATGACTCTGTAACAAATCCTATGCAGTTAGGTTTTGTTCTCTGCACAAGCACAAAAATGTACTCTTCTCTTTATACTCCCTTTTTTATCTTTCTATAGGTCTTCACTACCCAGACTTTCCTGACTGAACAATATAATTTATCACATGTTTTTATATGCCTTTTTCCTCCACCGAGTGTCCTCTTTTTTTGTTTTGTTTTGTTTGTGGGCAAGACCTAGCTATGCTCAGGGCTTAGTCCTCACTCTACTCTCAGGGATCACTCCTGGTGAGATCAGGGGATCATATGGGCACCTGGGATCAAACCCGGACCAGCCACATGCAAGACAAGCACTGTACTATCTCTCTGGCCCAAAGCAGCCATTCTTGAGACAAAAAAAAAAAATCATGTCTCATTCTTCTTTAGGTAATGACTGTAGGGTTTGATGACATTCCTTCAAACACTCGAAGCTGGGTTTTATGTCTCCTGCGGTCATGCTAGTTCAGGCTAAACATTTCCATTTCCTTCAGCTATTCCACAAATCAGCAGGCAGATATTTGCCTCTTCTTGCCTATTCCCTCTAACAGGAGCACTAATGGGGTGAAAGAAGGCAGATTGTATCATATAATGTCTCTGTGACAAAAACTCTACTCTCAAATATCATGCTGTGTAGTGAGGGTAATGAAGTAGTTCAGAAATTCTATAAAGGATACTCAGGGTCCTTCAAACAGCCTTGAAATTCTATAATAAATGAGAATTTTACAACAGGAAGAGACTGCAGATCTCACCTCATTCAGCCTGTACCAAGGAGGATATGCAGTTCTAAGAATCAAAGGGAATTGTCTAAGGTCACAGAGACTGTTACTGATGAAGCTGAGTCTTGAGACTATCTTCTATTTTGCTGTATCATGTTCTTTACTACATTCTACACTAAATCAAAGAGAATACTATGCCTAGTGCTTTGTATGACCCTTAATAGTTAACTGTTGATGTTAAACATGGAAAGTGTCTTCATAAATCTTAGGACCTAAATTTCATCATTTTCTCTACTCCAATAGCATTTATGTGGTATTGAATATTCCAGAAGGGTTTTAAAGTTTAAAACTAATGTTCCTGGCAGTCTTCATTTTATTCCCAAAAGACAGAGATTATGCTCCATAATTTTTAAAACTTCATGGAGTCTTTCTTCTTAATTTTTATGGTACAACAACACTTAGCACAGTATCTGACAAATTCTAGACATTTAAGCAATATTTTCTGACTTATGATTACCTTGTAATTGTCTATTAATGGATTACATGCAACAAAATTTCAAACCAAGGCTAAACTTCTTTATGATTTGACAATTTCCTAGTGTTAAATGCCCAACAATAAACTGATTTATGTTTAGAGAATTTAAATATTGTTCATCTAAATAAAATAATATTTGGAAATCAAAATGCTGAAAATAAATATAAAGAACAATTTAAATTTGCCAGTAGGCAGGATTCTGAAAGATCATCTGTAGAGTAGGAATTTGATCCTGAAATATATTCTCAAGATGTAAAAGGAGGTGCAAATGATAAATAAAAATATAATAAGGTTTCCACTGAAATACATGTGAATAAGGCAGAAAACACACATAAAGAAAAGACCCTGTTTACATTTCTGGAAATAATGTGTTCATCTTCCAAGCATAACCCATAGAAATCTTTCAAAGTTTTCCCTTCAACTGCCTCTCCCTTTCTAGAGTACAAAAACAAAAGTGATTTTCTCAATGGGGATCATTTGGGACCATAGAAGTGAAAAATTATTGCTTGAAGAGTGAAAAACACATAGATGTAGCAATAGTTAGGGGCTCTCCAATGTTTAATCTGGACTGATAGAATCTTAATTTCTAAGTATTTAATTTCTCTCACTGGGGAGAATGAAACTAAATTAATTAATTTTAATTAATTAGACTTAATTGATTTAAATTTTTCCTTAGAGGGGAAATGTAAAAACATTTGAGAACCACTGCTCTCAAAGCCTGAAAGCTATGTATTTGAAAACAGTAGAACTCTATCAGCCTGGGTCTCAGACTGATGGACATAGGAGGCACTTGGTCACTGCCAAGTATCATTAGTGACAAATTAATCTTAATTTTATTTTGAACTATTAGCAATCTGAAAGTCTAAATGACATAGTAGCCCATTCTAATTTTAAATTGACCAATTTAGATTTTTAGCTGTTTAAATTTTTTATTTAATACATTTTAATATTTATTTTATTAGCCAATGGATTTGTAGTATTCAGCATTTCCCAAGTTTATACTCACACACCTATGTGTTAGACTGTCACCACTAAGTTCCAGTGTATGTCACCACCCAAAAGATCCTTCTGCTCCTTCTCCCACTCCATCCCCTACAATCATCATAGTTTTTATGGAGATTAAGGATTTGTTTTTCTGGTATTTACCCACTTTTCACATGAGGAAAAGTGAGATTAATGAGCTCAAGTCCAAGGTCAAGAGTTCGGTAATTTTAAGGACAGAGATTTGAAATGTGTCTGATTCCAAAGCAGAAGCTCCTGGCATTTATGCTCAGTTGTTGCCTTTGTAACTTGCCAAAAGGAACGCATTTTCTCTACATATGTTGATATTCAATCAGACTCACAAAAGAGTGTTGAAAGCAACCACTAGTATGAGAATTAAAGTTATACTCATTTGTTTTGTTTTGTTTTGTTTTGACAGAGCTAGGGTGGCGGGGAGAGAGAGACTGATATCTGATGACATTTCTAGATCCACTTTTTTCTGTTACCAACTTTATTTATTTATTATTTTGCTTTTGGAACCATACCTGGTGATGCTCAGGAATTACTCCTGGATCTTCACTCAGGAATTACTCTTGTCAGTGCTCAAGGGACCATATGGGATGCCGATGATTGAACCCAGGTAGGCCACATGCAAATGCACTATCACTGTACTGTCACTCTGTTAATACTGTTTTTAGTTAGAGTAATTTTCACATATCCAAAGTTAATAAATATTTTCAGAAACTGTAACTTTAAACAGAATGGGAGATTAACTCCCAGGGATAGTAGATATAAGGACTAAGAGGTCTGTTCCACAGCTTGGAAAAACGGCCTCACATGCTAGGGGAAAAGGCAGCTCAGATAGAGAAGGGAACACCAAATAAAGGATGTTGGGAGACCCCATTTGGGCTGAAAGATGCATGCTGAGAGTAGACTATAGACCAAACATGATGGCCACTCAATACCTCTGTTGCAAACTACAACACCCAAAAGGAGAGAGAACAAAAGGGAATGCCCTGCCAACAGATGTAGGGTGGGGAGGGGGGATAGAGGTAGGGGTGGTGGGAAGGATATTGGGAATATTGGTGGAGGAATGGGTAAATGATTATTGTATGACTGAAATACAAAAGTTCGTAAGTTTGTAACTGTACCTCACAGTGATTCACTAATAAAAAATTAGAAAGAAAAAAAGAAACTAACTTTAATTCAGAGCTACGGAGTTGTATCTAGCAAGTTGCAGGTAATTGAATGTGTGTAATAATGAGACATGAAAGATAATACGGGAAATACATTAGTTGCCTT